CACCAATCCTTGGTGTGGTTATTTCCCCCCCAATTACCAATGCCTTTGAGCCGTGGTACTGGAGAAGAGTATTGAGGGTACCATGGACTGCTAAGAAAACAAACAGATTCATCCTGGAGAGGGTTAAACTGGGCTGCTCCTTGGAGGCAAGGGTTTTGAGGCTTTGTCTAACATACTTTGGACATGTTGTAAGGAAGGACTGGTCCTTGGAGAGGGACATCACGTTTAGGAGGGTGGAAGGACAGCACAAGAGGGGAAGGCCCTCTATGAGGTGGATTGAGTCAGTGACTGGGGTAATCAGGGTGGGTGTATCGGAGACAGTGCGATTGGCACAAGACAGAGCAGAGTTTAGGGCTGTTGTATATAGGGTCTCTATAAGTCCTAGGCACATAACAACAACATCATAATAATATCATTTTGATTTGCATTTCCTTAACATGTAGCAATGCTGAACATCTTTTCATGTACTTACCTAACATTCTTTATTTTATTTTTATTTGTGTATATTTAGTAAAGTATCTGGTTTGTTTTTTTTTAGTAAAGTATCTATTCCCTTCTTTTGTCTATTTTATTAGAAGCTTATCTGATTTCTTTCATTTTATTTTCTTTTTAAATAGCATTCCGTTTAATACAAATATTTAGTATTGGCTTCCCATATTTCCCCCCTTTTGTTTTTATCATAATTATGTTATCATCTAGATGAGCATCCTTTATATACAAATAAAAGAAATTAAACATAATAAACTCTAAGAAATACTTTCAAATATCTCAGTATGATCAGAAGGATTCAGGTTGAATATTTCTTGAAAGTCTGTTTTAATTGTCCCATTGCCACAGTGCTTGTCAAAACCAATTCTGATTAATCTCCTTTGTCAGTGTGTCCTTTGCCATTCCCTATCACTCCTCCCTGAGAGAGATTTCACCCTGATTCATAAGGAATAAGGGGATGGCGTATTCTCTTAGCTACTTCCTGCTGAAAAGGGATGCTGTAGGTTTCCGGGTGAAGATCTTCTCTCACTACTCTAAAGGGCCCCTTTGACAATTAATAAACACATAGAGTATTGTGGAGACTGATTGTAGACTTTAGATGCACTGTTATCATTTGTGCTTAGCCATACATGTTCATATCCTTGAAGATGCATCATGGAACTGTTGCAGCCTGGAAGACACAAATTTTTTTTTCTATAATTATATTTTATTAATTTTCATAAACATTTACAGAGATTTTGTGTTTCCATTCATTCATTGTTGCAC